TTTGAGTTTATTTTTGTGAATGGTGTAAGAAAGTGGTCTAGTTTCATTCTTCTGCATGTTGCTGTCTAGTTCACCAGTACCCTTTGTTAAAGAGACTTTTTTCCATTGGGTATTCTTTCTTGCTTTGTCAAAGATTATTTGGCTATATTTTTGCGGGTCTAATTCTGGGGTTTTTGTTCTATTCCATTGGTGTATGTGTCTGTTTTTGTGCCAATACCATGTTGCCTTGATGACTGCAGCTTTGTAGTAGAGGCTACAGTCTGGGATTGTGATGCTTCCTGCTTTGGTCTTCTTCTTCAAAATTACTTTGTCTATTTGGGGTCTTTGGTAGTTCCATACAAATTTTAGGATTGCTTGTTCTAGCTTTGAGAAGAATGCTGCTGCAATTTTGATTGGGATTTCATTGAATGTGTAGATAGCTTTGGGTAGTATTGACATTTTAACAATATTTATTCTTCCAATCCATGAGCACGGAATATTTTTCCACTTCTTTGTAGCTTCTTCAATTTCCTTCATAAGCCTTCTATAGTTTTCAGCCTATAGATCTTTTACATCTTTGGTTAGGTTTATTCCTAGGTATTTTATGCTTCTTGGTGCAATTGCGAATGGGATCAGTTTCTTTATTTGTCTTTCTGTTGCTTCATTATTAGTGTAGAAGAATGCAAATGATTTCTGTACATTGATTTTGTATCTTGCGACTTTGCTGAATTCATGTATCACATCTAGCACACCTTTGGTGGAGTCTGTCTGGTTTTCCATGTATAATATCATGTCATCTACAAAAAGCGAAAGCTTGACTTCATCATTGCGAATTTTGATGCCTTTGATTTCCCTTTGTTGTCTGATTGCTGATGCTATCACTTCCAACACTATGTTAAACAACAGCGGTGAGAGTGGACATCCCTGTCATGTTCTTGATCTCAGGGGGAAGGCTCTCAGTTTTTCCCCATTGAGGATGATGTTAGCTGTGGGTTTTCCATAAATGGCTTTTATGATGTTTAAGTATGTTCCTTCTATCCCGACTTTCTCAGGGTTTTTATTAAGAAAAGATGCTATATTTTGTCAAATGCTTTTTCTGCATCTATTGACAGGATCAT